ACAGTATAATTTTAACTAAATAACCATTGGATATTAAGCGGTAATGGATAGATACATGCCCCCAAATGCCCTGGTATGGCCGAGAGTAGGGGGAATCCGCTCTCCCTCTCAAAATTCTCTCATATGGACACGCTTATATAGCCTCTGCCAGGGAATTCCTACTCATTGAGAGGACGCTTTAACCGGATCCCAAACAAATAGTGCACATGGGCTGGCTCCAGTATCCTGAGGGAACAAATGGCGTAAGAACCAATCGTTGGTCATCGGCTGGCTACCATGGGACTGCATCTCCTCATGATGCTCCACTGCCTTGTAGATCAGATCTTCAGGTCGAAGGCTCGGGGTATGGCCCCCCACTAAGAAAACCACCCGGGCAGTACCGCAGCCCTCACACATATCAAATGAGATTTGTGTGATCCATTTGTATTTGGTACCTCCTTGTACCAATATCTGTGTGTTAAAATAAAAAAATAAAATAATAATAGATACATAATCTTAGTGCGAAATGTTCAGTAATCCATAATAAGGACTTCGTCAGAGATTGGATATAGGATTACTTACCCTAAGGGGAAATGTGTTAACTCTAGTTTATTGAGTTTGTAATCAGTAGTTCAAATGTTTTAATTTAGTACTACTCATAATTATAACTATGTTTGTTATTGAAGAGTACTAACAAAGACAAAGCATATTTCTGAAGTTTTATAAAATATATTAACTACCTATTATAAAATTGAGTAAGAAATAGTCTATCTACAGAATGATAAATATTCAATAATCGGAACTAAACATTAAATTCATTTGGTGTTGTTTTACATGTATCTTTGCATTATTATTTAGAAATGCAATTGATCAGTCTCTTGTTGGCATATGTACATCCTATGCGGATTGTCTCGATATAGTCTTAAGCCACAAACTTTTATAAGCAAAGATGGATAGTGGCTAGCAGTGGACGAGTCCCAAATAGGACGAAACACGCGTCTTGGATTCCAATTCTAGCCACTATCTATCTTTACTTAGGAACTAAATATTGATTGTTATCAGTTAACTAATCTTCATTTACACCTAAGACCCAAATTAAACTTGAAATAATGAACAGACTGATCAAGAAAACACACTTTTCATAAGTAATATCTTTTCACTGTTTTACGGAGTTATCATAGGACTGCATCTTCTGACGTTGCTCTACTGCCTTATGGATCAGACCTTGAGGTCGAAGGCTCCAGGTGTGGCTCTGTTAAGAAAACCACCTACTTCGGTCTGGGCACTCGGACAGTATCACAACCCACACACAAATCAAATGACTTGTGTGGTGCATATGTATTCGGTGCCCCTTTGTACCAATACTTATGTGTTCAAATAAATAATAAATAATAGATTTCTCTGTTTTACAGGGTAGTGAATAAGTTTTATATACTAAATTCGACAATATGAAACACTGAATTCTTGATCATTGGTTAATAAAGGTATCATTCTGACTATGAGAACGGAAGAATTCAAAGTTCATTCGTGAATACATGCTGTTCGCCCTAGTTACATATAAATTTATAATTGATTGTAAATTATTATGAAAATACAAATAATCGATAGGATCCAAGATTCGTGAAACTTGTCAGCTGAATATACTTTCATCCAATTATGAATATCAACATTGAAAATTATCACTTTAAAATTTAGTGAATTATATCACAGATGAGTTATATAGATAATGAATTACGAATAGAATGAAACCCACTTTCTGAATTTAACTCCTAGATACAACCTGAAAATATATATCTCAATTGATTGACCACTGGGTGGTTGTAATGTGGCCACCAGTCTAGTTGATTCGATACTGCGTGCACTATGTTGAGATCAGTTGAGGGTTGGAGGTAGTCGACAGGAAACCCTCGACCCAGGTTTCGGGCCACTTGGCACTCATCAGCAAGGTGTACCTGTAACATTGAGGAAACTGGTGCTCCCTGATGGATTTAATCCCGTGTCATCCAGCTTCACAGTTAGAAACGTTACCACTGAGCTATCCGAACCGCGACCGTCCTCCTGTAGGAATAAGAAATAATCACAACCTGAATATATATATATGGTAAAGTTTAAATTGAACATACGATCAATATATCAGATCAAGGATCATATATATCAGTAAATATCAACAATAAGGCAACATAAACTCGAACAAAATATAAATAAATTTCACAATTGATTGATTACTGATCTAATATATGTCTAGTCCTTGAACGCTTTTCTAATTTATTAATCCAATTATAATGTATCCCCCAAAACTCACATTATGTAATTTTATCTTATCGATTAACTTATCGATTAAATATTTAAATATTTGAATGGTAGTCAATTGACGAACTTATCGATTAAATTTTTAAAAATTTCCATGACAATATCGATTATATATATATATATATATATATATATATATATATATATATATATATATATATATATATATGCTTGATTTGTGTGCCTGATCGACCTGGTATCTGTTGGTTACCTGTAGAATACACTTTCTACGTCTTACCAAGACTTCTTAATCGAATTAGCTGAGTCGAGGACAACGGTTCAAAATAACTTATCAAGTCTCTGAATCTTTGATCCTTCGTTCCATTCCGAGTAAGACGAATCAATAGTAGCATTCAAGCTTAACGAACCTAACAAAAACATATCTGTAATCTCTAAAGGAATTGATGTTTCAGAAAACTAGGAATTAACTCCAAGCAATTAATATAATGACTTTTTAAAAAAAACAGGGGGTAGTTATTATGATGAAAATGTCGATGAATTGATTTTCAGACAGAAGAATATAATTCTTATGGAATTTACATAGGTATCATATCATTAGGAATTAAAATAGTAACTAGAAACAATATTAATTCTATGGATAAATATGTAAACAACATTGAATTACAGTTGTTTAATGTAAATTGAAATGAAAACAGAAAATGCATATGACGTCAGTATTTGCAAGATACAATTGCTACCAGCTATTTTATAATTAAGTATGTTTATGTGTATTGTACCAATAGATATCAGTGTAATCTAGGATTTATGTTTCATCTTATTTGAAACTAACCATTTAGATGTATCCGAATAGTATTGTTTCTATTTCTATAAAGATTTGACTTGCTTACTTACTTACGCCTGTTACTCATAATGGAGCATAGGTTGCCAACCAGCATTCTTCAACCCACTCTGTTCTGGGCCTTCCTTTCTAGTTCTATTCAACTTTTGTTCATTCCTCTTATGTCTGTCTCCATTTCAAGGGCATAATGTGTTTCTCATTTTCCTCTTCGTTTTTGGCATTGAGGATTCGAAATGAGGGCTTGCCTTGTGACTCAGTTGGATGCTTTCCTCAATGTATGTCCTACCAACTTCTAACGCTTCTTCCTCTAGTCATTCAGTTAGTCAGAAACAACGTACAACTTCGTACATACGTACATCAGTTAGAGTTGCCATACCACACTAGCACAGAGATACAATGTTCGATTCAAATATCATAGTGGTAGAGGTAGTAAAAGTATAAGCAGTAATCAGAAACATTAGGGTTTGAAGATGTTATTCAAGGAGTATAATCCAGTGAAATAAATTTGGAAAGAGAAAAAAAAGAGACAAGGAAAATTCAGGAGAATAGAATTTGGGAGGACACAAAGAGTGGATGCACCTACACCATTGCAAGCGATTTTCAGCCATGTCATTCAAGGTGTCTAATCATCGATTGCTATCGTCTCGCGAATCCCAACAAGGAAGTTTACACCTACCAACATGGCTCAGTCCACTTGCCAGTGACTTCATGGATTTGTGCCATGTTTTGGTCTGGCCGCCTCTAGCTTTCTTCCAACCTAATCCTGCACCATAAATCATCGCCCGTCGGTGCAGTCGGTAGTTGGGCATACGTAACACATGTCCCTGCCATCCCAGCTGATGAAGTTTCACTACTTCATCAATTGATTTTCCATCCTTACCTAGTACTCGTTTCTTAACAACTGCATTACTTACTCGATGGTCCCAGGATATACGAGCAATGTTTCGAAGACGCCTATGATCGAATACTAGTAACCTACGGATATCCTCTAAACTAATTTTAACTAATTAAATCTTACTTACATTCAGGTGTTGATTTTCACAATGAGACTTGAACACAGTATCTAGCGCTTCAAACTCCAACGGATCAACTATCAAATTATAGAGTTCCTTTCGTCACTGATTTGTTTAACTGATATAAAGTTATTTGCAAAATTTTGCATGATCGTGTTGTTTGAATCCAAAATCTTATCTGATCAGTTTCAGTTGGTATGTACATTATACCCTTTCTTAATAGATTCTTCAAAAATATCATAAACATTGAACAATTCAGTAGCCACATTGACCCAGAAACTGAAGCGATTGTTGCTTGGTTCAAGTTTCATTATAAATTTTAACATTGGGATGTCGTCAAATCCAGACGATCAGGTCTAAATACGATAAGTGTTCTGGATAGTATGGCTAATAACAGGGTAAAAATATGCTGGTAACGAGAGTGTTTTAAGCTTAGCGTAACACAAATAATTCAATATCCACTACTATAAGTGTGGTGTGTGCTACTGATGTCGATATATATAAGTAGTATATATCATCAGTCAAAAGTGAAATACCTGTTAGTAGAAGATTAAAACGATCAAAGAAAAGAGAACAAGAACAGAGAATGATTAGTGTGGAAACGGAGGAATAATGAAGTCTGAGACGATTGACTGATATTTTGAAAATGAAGTATTCATTGTATGGTTCTTAGATTTGATCAAGATATACGGTAATATTGTGTTAAAATACATTTGGTTATCTACACCTATATTCATGTTCATTACATAACTACTCTCAATCCATTATAATGTTATTTATTCTGATAATTTACTTTACCCCCCCATCATCTCTTCTTTCCATCAATTTGTAACTCTCATTTACTAAATAATTCTTCTCTCTTTTTTTTTCTTTCTTTCTTTCTCTCTCTCTTTCTCTAGATTATCGAAAAAAATTCCAATCAATTAAATGTTAAAGAGAATAATGTTGTTTTACGTGAAAAACCAACAAAACATAAAGTTCACTGTTGTCATCATTAAATTAATTATTTTGATATCAAAGCAAGAAAAAAAAAGAAAAAGAAAATGGAAAAATTTATTGATTCCAAAAAAAGAAAAAAAAATTTTTTTCTTTTTTTAAAAAAAATAAACATGCTATTTGTAAATGTTATAAACTACTAATCAATCTTGTAACCATTGTCAATTATTAATAATATTGAAACTATTGATCATTATATTGATACATTATATATATATATATATATATATATATATATATATATATATATATATATATATATATATATATATAGATGATAATCTAAACACAAGATATAGTAACCATTCACTTGGTATTGTTTTCTTGTATCTATCTTTATGTTATAAAGTTTGTCATTTTAAAGAATATCGAAGTATTATACATAAGATAAATAATATGCTAATAAAAGATTGATTAATTATAGTTTTAAACATTAATAAGAAGATTCAAGTAAACTATACCAAGTGAATTTCAACTTCACCCCCCCCCTCGCTGATTGCATAAGTGCGTAGCTATCAGAATTCAGTAGCTAAGTGGATAATATAATGGCGTTTGAAGCGAACGATATTAGGTCCGAGTATTAGAATGAACATCAATTGTGAGATGCAGGTTTATCCAGCTGACGAGTTTCAAATAGGACAAAACACGTGTCCTGGGTTCCATTGTTAGCCACCATTCATCTTTGTACACAAGAAGTCAATAAAATACTTTATATAACCGATTATTAATACTTGATAGTTAGATAAACTGGTAAACAAATCCAGACTTCTTAATTGATAGTATTAATGTGAAATACATGTTACATTTTTCTGTTAGAATTTAGAGAAATCCATTCATATTTTTATGATAGACAAAAGTTAAAGCGATTTTGTGTAAATGCCTAGATGATGACCATACAACTACTTATTATTTCATGGTTTTTATTGACTCTCTATCAGCTGATGTTAATTCGAGGGGGGGGGGGCGAAACATTATTTTCACTTTATACAAAATTATGACAGTTTATTTTTGTGTTCTTGTAGTATTCTATCACCTGAGCATAGTTTCATTGTGACATTTTCATTGTTGCTTTGAATAATAACATCTTTACAGCTTATCATACCTACATGGGTTACAAACACATGCTTTTGTACTATGAATCTTTTCTAGTATAATGCAAACTGTTTTAGTAGACATATGCATGTATTCATTGTCGATAATGAGAGAGAATAAGGGTTTTCTTGTTTACAGTAATAATACTATCCATACTAATGATATCTTGATAATCTTAAGCTAATTTCATTTTAGACATTTTGTCTAAAATTCATGTGAATGATAACATATCCATGTAGATATATGTTAGATAAATATATACTGTTACTTACATTACTTCGTTAACGCAGAAATACGATATACAACTAACAGCTCTCCAGTGTATAGAACCTTCAAACAGCCGCATATCAGAAGACAGAAGTGATTATTGGGTAAGAATCAAAAATGTACAAAATAACATGTGTATTCATAGTGATTAGCGTTGTCTATAACATCATTATAATCCAGCCAATCCTCAAGGAGACAAGTTGATATTCCAGTAGGCACTACCAGGCTCTGATTGAATGGAAAATCTACAGCTTCTTTAGAGCCTCTGTAGGCATCGTCATGCTTCTAGGAAGCCATCCCAACAAGTACCTAATTAAATTATTTTGTCATAACCTATAACGACTTAGATTCGATTTCAAAGTATCATTAAAGATGATTGAAAACTTAACCATTTTGACTATAATAGATTTTACTGATGCCGATACAAAGCTTCAAATAAATTGTATTATGATATCCAGGATAACTATCGGTAGTGACTAATATTGATCGGTGGTAAATAAACATGAAGAAGATAGTGGTCTTGGTGAAGTCGTATATTTCTTCAAGAAATAAATTACTAATCGATCGATCCATTAAATGCTAAAAGTGAAGTCAGTAAACACTAGTTATGTTATCGCATCAAAAATGTTTTTATGATGGTATATCAGTCTTATTTGGATAAAAGAATTCCAGTATTTTAATCTAAAATGGATCCCCCATGAGATTCGAGAATGGAAAGGAGTAGCATAGAGCTAAGTCTGGTGAGTAAAAACACTGGTCTATCATATTAATTGAATTACAGAGAGACGTTGAAATAATAAGTAACCAAGGGTGTAAATTATACGTAATAACAAAAAGAACTTTCGTCAATTATTAACTGGTCAAAGGCGGTTCATGAAGGTCAGGTTAGTTCAAGATGGTATGTGTTTAAGTACAATAAGATTGGTCATGTTTAGTTACTTTTGTAACAGATCATCTTGGTGGTTAAATTAATCATGCAAGTCATGTTGGTAGATGCAGACTACTTGGTTGGTGTCCGCGTGACTATCGTAACCAGTGGTCGGAGACTCTTGGTGACATGGCTCAAAATCGATCACAATGGCATGGGTGTATACACTCTCTGTCTTCTCTTAAACTAAGAGATTAAAATCACTCCATATCTTTCTTTCTAGGAACTAATTCTACCTTCCTGTACTATGCAATCTTTCTTCTATATATTACCACCACTGAATTAACTACTTCTATGAATCCGATGTTGATCTTGTTGTGCTAATGCGGTATGGCAACTTGGACCGAAACATTTATGTGCCTGGTCCTATACTGCAGCGGACTGACTGACATGCAAGCTACATGGAATTCGTTGTGTTCGACCGCCCAATTGTGTTACGGTATATATCTTTTATGGGATACTAAACTATTATTAATGAAACGACTAATAACTCTCATAATATGCACAAAATCCTATGTTTATCACTGACAGTCCTACTGAATGAGATAAGGATATGTGCGATGAGAACTTGAGTAGGCCCAAAATAGATTTCCTCTAATAATGTTCCTCATTTATAACCACTCACCTAGCATCTAACTCCACGAGAGATAACAAGTATAAGTGAGCTGGATGTACGTACTCAGAATTGATGTGCACCAATTTTAAATGGGACAAACTAAGTGTCCTGAATTACACTGCCAGCAACTTTCTATCCATTATTATGCACAAACTTGTGATATAATGTCTATTTTCAAACAATCTACATATAATGCACATATGCCAACTGAGATCGATCAAAGTTTAGTCAGAAATATTGGAGACGGATTAATCCTAAAACCACTGCGAATTGAATTACAGTACTAAGTCATGTTCGGTGGTTATTCAATTAAGGTCAGTTAATTATGTTAACTATAAAAACCAATCTTCACAAACCTATTACAGTAATTGAAAATCATGTGTTCAGTAGTGGCTAATTTCTTGAGGTGATTTCGGAGTTCTCATTAGACTGATCGGTTGATTCCTATTACATCAAATATGATACAGCTAACTAATAAGAACATTGAAACATAGTAGCGCAATACCGTGAAGTAATTGAAGATATCATGCAAATGATTGGTTTCCGGATAAGTCATCTAGAGGACAAAAGTCTGCACGCATAAACGAAGATCTTGAGTTCGGTCCTCGGTGATAGAGTTGTGGTGCGCAGTTCTGAGGAGTTTCAAAGCAAGACAAAACAGTTACCGAAAGCTTCTTGATTCTAATGGCTGTTTCAACGAGATTAGTTCATTATGTTAAATGCGAAGATAAAGAATCATCTCACCTATGCATCCGGTGAAATAACAATATCAAGTGGAGCCAAACATGTTGAAGATAAAATCTTCCAGGTTTTTTGTGAACTTCAGAAAATCATCAGAACTGGAACTCAATTTATGAAGTACTTAGTAAAACAAAAGCCTACAAAAAACTACACGTAAAGTCCATTTTATATGATCAAGATACTGTCTATAACATAAGTTAGTTAAAATTCGTTCTTATTTTATCTAGACAAAATAACCTAACAACTGAACGACACATTATTACAAGTGCATTCAGTAATAGCCACTTTTTTTATTACACAGCTCTGCCATCGTAATTTCATAGGTAGTATGACAATTGTAAGAATTTTTCTATTGCGTAAACCAAGTTCTTAACATATTAGCTTTATATTTTTCTACTACTTACAAGTAGTTTTCAGTATGTAGCTTAAACTTTGTGTTAGATACGATCGGTTAGTGAACAGTATCTCTAAATAGAATAGAAAATGGTTAGATATGCTAATGAATGTAGAGCTCAACAGAATAATTTAAACCATTCTTCTTGTAATCTGAGAAACGAATGACCCAAGTGACAAGAATCTGGTGAAAATTAATTGAAATCTTTTGAATGGGTTATGATAGCAGCAAAATGACGATACTCATTTGATTATTACTAATACATGTAGAAAACCACGTACATCAGAAATGACTGAAAGGATGAAACGGTGAAAACTGAGGAATTTCTAATGTCAGAGAAACTTTTGGGAATATCGCAATCAAGTCAGTCTGTAATCGACAGACACATCAATAAAAATCCAGTTTATCAATCTAAACAGAAAAGCTCGGCTTATATATGTATATTTGAAAGTAAGAACGGTGAGAATTCCTACTAGCCTGAAAATATTAATTAGCACTGAAACTCTTCGTACCCGTCACCAATAAATTCGGCTCATGTACCATTAGCCGCGTCTTTGCGTGACGTTCCACATTTCCCTACTTTTATAGTATGTGCAGACAGTTTCTGTCTATTAAATTTGCGAAACCATGAGCCTAATTGTACGTTAAAATACAAAGTATTGGTGATTCGTTACAAATCAGATGATAGATGTTACTAGCATTCAAGATCATCTATGTACGCTAGTTGATTGACGAGAATCACCCATGCATTTTTGCCCTTCAAATCTTTATGATCATCAGTTTGAGTTACGTAGAGAACTTCTGTCATAGGTAACCAAAACTATAAATGACTCCCACTAGATCTCCACATAATGAGGATACAAAGCATACAGCTATGAAAAGTGGATCTAACTGCAAATAGCTTCAAAATCAACTGTAATATTTAGAAATCCCAAACTGAGTAAAAACGAATAAGGAAGACCCATTCATTTTAGTGTTTGCAATTTGATTGAAACCCTGAACGGATTTAAGTTAAACCACCATTGGAAACCTGGAAGCATTAGATGGCCGTTTCGTCCCAGAATTGGACTCATCAGTAGTGCACATCAACGATCTTGCAACCGAGAATTGAACCTAAGACCGTTGTTCCAGTGCGCGAATGCTAATGTCTTTATTTATTTTAACACATAGATATCGATACATGAAGGCACCAAATACATATGCGCCACACGAATCTCATTTGATATGTGTGAGGGCTGTGATACTGCACGGGTGCCCAAACCAAAGCAGGTGGTTTTCTTAGGGGACCACACCCGGAGCCTTCGACCTGAATGTCTGATCCACAAGGCAGTGGAGCATCATAAGGAGATGCAGCCCGATGGTTGCCGGTGACCAACGATTGGTTCATACGCCATTTGTTCCTTCAGGATACTGTAGCCAGCACATATGCACCATTCGTTTGGGATCCGGTTAAAGCGCCGGACATTCGCTTTTCGTCCTCTCGATTTCATAAACATCACCCCCGCCATGAGAAGGCAGTTTGTAGGACTTCCCTGACAGGGGCTGTATACGCATGGCCATGTGAGAGCATTTCGAGAGGGAGGGCGTGCCCAGGGCATTTGAGGGCAATATGTATTCTATGTTGCATGGAATAAATTTTCATACTTCACAAGTATTTCATGAAACAGGATAGTATAATTTTCATATTATTGAACAAACATAATGACAAAAATATATGATCAATTTAATTACAAGAAAGAGAGATATAACTCAGTCATCTTATATCATAGCACAGCGTTCTCATACGAATAAGCTATTTGCGCAATATATATATATATTCGGTTATGATTGAATATGTATATATAGAAAAAAAAACGGTTGAAGAATGGATGTACAAATAAGTAAAATCACAGGTATTTAAAAAAAAAATATGCAGTTGATTTCTTTGCATTTTAAAACAGGATTAATTGATTGTTGATTGTATTTGATCCCAGATTATCTGAATATATTTCCCAATGTTCTTGTAGAATTTCCCTCTAATATTAACAAGGACATGTTAATGATGAGCTAGGTTGAGTAGATTGAAAGGATACGACTTGAGGTGATTGTGACGTTGATGTTGATGACAGGAATTCAGGATCTTGAAGGATCTAGGATTATTGATTATTCAAATATGATAGAAATGTATAGAACTTAACAAACAAATAAAAATTTTATTTTAAACTTATATTAAATCCATAACTTTGAGTAACATTTTAATCATATACATAGGTGAAGCTATAATATATTTGTGATGATTGAGGCTAATAAAGAAATGTCCAACAATCAATTGAAATCGGGGTGTATCTCTAACAAGAATATAAACATTCCAAGACTGTAATTATCTTAGTGAATCATATTGAGATATTTAAAACCAAAATAAATACCAAAAGCAATCAAAGTAAAGCCTGAAATGAATGTGCATCGTCCCAGTTTACCACACATCATACATCATCATCGTCACCATAAACATCATTATCATAGAAATAATCGTATACATTGTATAGGAAGGCTAAACACAAGAGATATTGTATACAAAAGAAACGAATGAAACTATGACAACACATTATGATCATGAATTATATAAAAATGAAAAATGAATGTTACTGTGTAACTGTGTTACCCAAAGTTTCAAACCATAAATCATAATAAGCAAGCTTATAGCTGTGAATACAGTTTAGGCCAACGAGCGCCCCCAAATGCCGTGGTACGACTGAGAGTGGGGAGAGTCAGCTCTGCCTTTCTCTTCAAATGCTCTTAAATGGCCACGTGCATATAACTACTGCCAAGGAAGTTCTACTCACTGCCTTCTAGCAGCTGGGTTGTTTTTTTACAAAATTGAGAGGACAAAAAGCGAATGTCCGGCGCTATAACTAAGTTGGTGGACACGGAGAGCCCACCTAGGGGAGTTGGAAAACCCTGGTTCCAAACTAAACTTATTGTTGGTCACCGGCTACTATGAAACTGAATCTTCTGACGTTGCTCCACTGCCTTGTGAATCAGACGTTTATGTCACAGTCTCCGGGTGTGGCCCCGTAAGAGAACCACCTACTTCGATTTGAGCACCCGGGCAGTATCCCTCACATATGTGGCGCATATCTATTTGGGGATTTCTTGTACCAATATTTATGTGCTTAAATAAATAAGACCAACGAGCAATAAAATCATGGTCTGGTATCATATTTTCAATTTGGTCACATCGAGTTTTGATATACTACTATGACAGACATGTGTGAAGCATAGTCTATCTGAAATGTTTTGTTTAAAATTAGGATTGGTCATTTAGTGGTTCAACTATACACGAAGACATCTGTGACTAAATGCATATCTTCTAATCTAATAGGCCATATTTTATACATACCTTGCAACAAGTATCTCAAGTTGTCAAAAGTGAGGAGAGAATTTTTTTTCTAATCCCCTACCACCCACAAGCGCTAATGAAACTTTTAAGGTAAGTAGAGCGATCAACACGCTCGACTACTCCACTTTCTGTTTTGAGTCAGACTAAAGGTTATAACCCCTTTCACTTTACTGCCATACGTGTTTTGAAGGATAACGATTATTTTAGTGTCTTCACCAAATGAACTACGGCGTTTGCGTAATCGCGAACAGTGAAAGTCGATTTGAATTTTCAAGAAACTAATGCACCTTCTGATACACTTCTTAATAACAGACATTGGCATCAAACCTGTGAACAAACAAAGTGAAATGCAGTTTCCAAGTCAAAAAAGACGTTTGTGGCTAGGCATCGATAAGCATGTCCAAAAATCTGTTAAAGGGTGAGTATATATTCTGCATATCCAAACCTAGGTCTGAAACAGAATTTTTTATTGAGCTTGCTTTCATCAACCTTTAATTATGCACCAGATGATTTTGAAAATTGATACTTCACGAATTATCAATAAACAGTTATCATAAGGTTTCTATCTTTTCATATAAACCAAAATGATTAAATATCTAGGTCAACTAAGGGGAAGCGGTTTGAGCTCCTAGACATAGTAACCAAACTGACACTACCGGACCACTATTGTTAAACGCCGTCAGTATTATTTTGTGGCTTATTTCAAATCAATTATAATCCTTACAACTCCAGTTGGAATACATTGGAGTAAATTAGTGTAAAAGTGATCTGTCAGGTAAGAATTAAGCTTGTCAATCAGGTCTTAGTTTTACTAATGTAAATGATCTATAATAATTTGTGTAATGTAACTTCTAATCACGAGGTAACATTTTTATTATGAAAAACTCACTCTATTAACCAATTGTATTACCCTTGACAACAGTTGAAATGAGATCGAGTCAATAAGAATTCAACTCCATGTCCACTTGTCAGTTGACTATGATGAATCATTTTCAATTATCTATAGATCAATATTCCATTTTCCCACTTAACAACCAAAATGTATTCATAATGAATCCAAAAAATTCATTTCCAACACATTATTAGTGGAAGACTTTAAAAGAATCAAGTGAAACCGGGATGTGTAAGAAAATGAATAATGCTATTTTATTTATTTATTCATTTGAACACATAAACATTGGTACAAAGGGGTACCGAATATATATGCACCACACAAGTCACTTGATTTGTGTGTGAGTTGTGATGCTGCCCGGGTGCCCAAAGCGAAGCAGGTAGTTCTCTTAGGAGGCCACACACGGATGTCCCGAAACATAAAAAGAGATTAATTACACAACAAGTGTGATGTAGAAGAAAGTTAGGGGCGGCCAAACCAAAACGTGGCATCAGTGCTTGAAGACACTAACTTCTAGTTTAAGCCATGTTGGTAGATGCAGACTACTTGGTTGGGGTCCGTGTGACTATCATGACTAATGGTTGGAGACACTTGGTGACATGGCTCAGAATCGATCACAATGGCGTGGGTATATACACTCTCTACCTTCCCTTAAACATAGAGATTAAAATCACTTCATGGCTTTCTACCAACTAATTCTCTCTTCCTGTACTATATCCTTATATGCAATATTTCTTCTATATATTACCACCATTGAAGTAATTACGTCTATGAATCCAGTATTCATCTTGCTGTGCGAATGAGGTATGGCAACTTGGACCGATGCATATATGTGCCTGGTCCTATATTGTAGCTGACTGACTGACTGACACAACAAGTAGTTAGCTTTAACCATTTGAATTTCTGATGAAATAAGATAAATCACAAACCAACCGAAAATTTAGTATAATAATTGTTAAATACACCGACCAATCACTCGTTTCAATCAATTATTATCTATATACATACTAATGGGTACAAAAATAAGACTTACTTTACGAACAAGTTCTACAAAAGCATCACGGACATTCTCACTTGTTTTTGCACTGGTTTCAACAAAAATTGACCCTATACTTCGAGCGAAATCTGAACCTTCTTTTTTTGAAACTATGCGATTATCCTATGGACAGAATATCTCTAAAGATAATTTCAACAAACTAACCAAGTCAATTTTATTACCAACAAGCATTTTTAAAAGTCCACTACCACAGAATTGTCTGGTTTGTTCTACCCAGTATTTCACTCCGGAAAGACTTTGTGCAGAAGTAACATCGTATACTAAAAATGATGAGGAGAATAAATCTATAGACATGTTTTTACCAAAAAGAGCACCATGAGCGTGGCGGTAAAGAGAAGGAGTCAAATAACTACTGTATCGTTCAACACCAGCTGTGTCCTAATAATATGAAAATAAATGTTCTACAATGTTTATGACATGACGTTTACCCATATATTAAACTGAATTGTTCTTCCGTCTACAGTCATTTGATATGGTTTGAAATCGAAACCGATTGTCGCTGCTTCACTGTGTGTAAATCGGTCATCAACAAATCGACGAATTAAACTATATAAAAGAAAATAGTTAGCGGAAGCTAAATGACATATATGGAAGAACATACCTTGTCTTCCCCACACCTGAATCTCCCAATAGGATTAATTTAATTTTTATCGATTCTTCACCGGCCATATTTTAAATATCTAAAGGAGTAATAATATTAAATGATAGTATTTGGACTGTTAACCAAAACAGAATTCGTCTACGTAAAATGTAACATGGTTGCAAAGGACTTTCATTAACTTCTAAGGAACATTAGTTTATTCCAGTAAGTTTAAAAAAACAAATAATTATAACTTATACGTTCCCTTCACACACGAAAGTTGTTTCATTTTTGTAAAGTAACACAAAGCTGAATTTTATGCAAAGTTGTTATTTTAATACGCTGGTGGACATCCCGTTTCGATTGAGAATGGCAGGTTTGAGAAGTGAAACTAGGCTCTCGTGCTAGTGTGAGGATATTGTCATTTATAAATGCACCAAGGTAAATTAGTTTATTAATAAACCTATTGAATAACTTAACCCACTAGTGTCCTAATAACTATTGATACAACAGTTCACAGGTAACTTTGGCACTCGGAATAGCTGAAAAACATTTACAACTTATCCCTAAATTTATAAAAACTTCCGTCTAAATTTGATCAAACAGTTTTATAGTATTTGAGCACCGAGTTGATGTGAGACATTAAAGACGAAGAATGTATTTGTAGTGAATGAATTTGTAGTAAATTCAACGTTTCACCTGGTAATCTGGTCCAACTTTTTTCAAGCAATTATAACCCAACATCAAAGTTATCAAATATAAAAATAGTTACATGGTTCTCTGGTTAACTATATACTAAATAGGTCATCTAATAAACGTTAACAATTTTTAAAGTAGATATTTGCTCTAGTGTGTAAGACATGTGGTATGAAACGGTGTTAAGATAACAGATTGTATGTATACGTAAGTGGTGTGAGAAGCAATTTCATTTACTATATATTGTCTCTGATCGGTGGATTTTTAAGAAAAATACTATTTTTACACATGATATGAATCAAACATGTCACAGCATGCATAAAATTAAAAGAAATAAAGGAATGAATGTTTGTGTAATTTTTACTGTTCCAGTTAATTGTTTAGCACATTTAGATAAGGTAACTGATTAGAAGCATTGAGTGTAATTATTGTTATTCAGATAATAAGAGATAGATAAAATGGAATAAAGAGTTCAGGTCTACTTATTAATTATTAGTTGCCATGGGACAGCTAATTGAATTCCATCTCTCCTATTAGTACTATTTGGATTAGCTCGTATGTGTAGGGTTTTAGCTGTTAGTCTTTCTTTGTAAGAATTAAAACCTTTTCGAAGGAAATCAGTTGTATGACCCGATTCTATAGTGTCATGCTATCACTGATTCGTTTACGAGTTTTCTTACATCATTTGGCGATTTAGGGATGTGCTTTAAGCATAGTTTGCGTTAATTCACCCTCACATTCAGTCCTCTTGACGTTTCACCTACATATGTAGCATTACAGTCACTATATTTGATCTCATAAAGACAAATTTATGGTTCTTCCCTGTGTATTGGATCTTTGATTTTTACTAGTTCTGATTTTACAGTATTGTTTGTTCAAAATAATACTCTAAATTCATTTAAAAGATTTCATGAGAACTACACTCCAATCCTGTTGTTACTTGTTATACCGAATCAAAATTGCATGGTTCCGTCTACTGATCACCTGAATTAAGATGTTATTATTATCATTTATTTAAACACATAAACATTGGGACAATAAGACACCAAATATATGTCACACAAATCATTCGATATATGTAAAAACTAGAATACTGCCCAAATTGAAGCAGGTAGTTTTCTTAGGGAGCCAATCCCCAAGCCCTTGACCTACAGGTCTAATCCACAAAGCAGTGGAGCAATCTTATGAGCAGTCCCATGGTAGCCAGCGACCAGCAATGCGCTCATATGCCATTTATTTCCCCAGGATCCTGGAGCTCACATGCACCATTGGTCTGGAATCAGAATTTTCCAACTCCTAGACGGATCCTTCATATCCACCAAATCAGTTAAAGCGCCGAACATTCGCTTTTTATCTTCTCAATTTCGTAAATAACACCACAGTAGCGAGGAGGCAGTGAGTAGTACATCTGTGACAGTGACTGTATACGCGTGGCCATGTGAGAGCATTTGGAAAGAGCTGACTCTCTGCAACCTCGGCCGTACCAGGGCATTTTAAGGTATTGTGATAATTACATATACGTCTGGATTAGTGACGCAGAAAACACAAAGTGAACAGTTGTCTAAAGAGAAAATAACTCGTCAACAAAAACTGGTCGTTTTATGCAGTAAAACTTAAGCACTTTTATATAAAATAAGTATGGCCTAAGTTTATTTAAAACAGGAGTGATTTTAAGACATTGGTTTTGTAGGTTATTCACGGAACTACGAAATTAAAGTCTGATTATCAGGCTTAGTGTCCACCATATTATTTAGCAAACAGATCTGTTCAATAAGCTACCTGAAAGTTGATGAGCATTCAGAGATGGATTTTGGCAACCAAAAGCATATTGATACTATAGGAATACTTTATTTTAATCTCGGAAAGATCTTAGGATGCTGATGAGGAAGACTAGAAAAAAAGTAGTGCTTCGAAATGAACGAACCAACTGCACAAAAATATATTAGGACTTTTTGTTTTCTAGCCCAGTATCTATTTACGTTGAGTGACACATTGGTCAGTTCAGGTTATCAAATCACGGAAAAAACATCTGATGGTATTTGTGCTTCTCTATGATATAACCATGGGATGGTAACTCTCAAGATGAAACAGTTAAAATAACAGTACTTTGCTGCATCTTTAACTTGTTCACCCTGAATTGCATGATACACTGATGAGGCCATAGCCAGTCCAAAAGACAGCTTCAGTAAGGAATAAGCGACTGTATACTGTTGGTTTAAAACAAACCAGATTCGCGGAATAGCCTTCTGTTACACTCACTAGTAAACTAGTATTTATATTATTGTCAATTTTCGTAGCTTTCAGTTTACATTCATTCTTTTTTGTCTGTCTGATACAGAGTTTGAGATTGTAACCACTTACTTCATAACTTAGTGAGCTTTTCTGGGGATAACAGAGTAATCATAAAGTTCGTATAAATAGAAGGCTCTGACCTCTGTCGTTTACACTTGGTTTTAAATATTTAACATTTCAGTACTAAAATCTAGAGAACTGCTTATTAAAGTCAGAGGGGCATATAAAAAAGATCAAGAAAAATGAATGGACACCGAGGTTCCATGAGACACCTAATTAGTATGGTAGTAAACCTTGTTTGGTTAAGTTGGCAAATTTGAATTAGAAACGTTTTACTTTTGCGAGGATAAAAGTCCAGTACAACTAATGATCTTTGACAAGGAAAACCTTAAACCCTATCAAATTGTACTTTCTGTTTTGGTAAACGGAGAAAGATTACGTTTGGATGTCATCTGTAACCAAGCTTTTAATAAGGATGAAGGTTTTCAACACTGACTTACATTAGGTATGATAGAGTATGAGAATGCCTCTTAGCTTTACCCGCATTTAAGGCTATGAACTGAGTCCCACAAGGCACTCCCATGGACAATCTATACCATCTATATGCATTTCGTGTAATTAGGCTGAGGCACCATGTCGCATTTTTATGTGGCTGAGTGGAAGGTATATTTATAGATTATTCTTAAAACCAGTTATATAAATTTATACTCTGTTGATAACAAGAAATAAGGTATTTCTCAATGAGCGCAGAAAATAAGCAAAAGTTTGGTTTTAATTGACCTGCTTCGGTTTGGGCACCCGGGCAGTATCACAGCCCTCATACAAATCAACTGAGATTTGTGTGGCGCATATGTATTTGGTGCCTCCCTGTACCTATACTTATGTGTTAAAATAATAATAAATATAAATTTAATTGACTACAATTTTGTCAAGTTTTCAGAAACTCATCAAAGGTAATGAACGGTTGAGATGATAAACAGCAAAAAAAGACTCATCGGAACCAAAACTTTTACTAATCTCTACCAAGCATTATTTGATACTAACAGCCTGGGAGCCAAAAGATACTGGAAGTAATCACAACAAGTTCAAAAGACGGGGCTAAGAAATAACCTTGAGACTAAAAGGGTTCGAATGGTTCAAATTGTTGTTGACGGAACTGAAGAAGCTGTAGCATAAAGGGCTTCCATGTCTAATAGCAGTGGATCACCAATACATCCAGGCAGGAACCTAGGTTTATAACCGATAATAAAAGAAAAAGAAATGGATAAATCATGGTAAAATATCTTTAGTCCTTAAGAATGGGTCAAGTTTCCTCTTAAGGGACTCCTGGGAAGTCACTTGGACTAGCTCAGCAGGCAGAGAATTACAGCATTTGACAACTCTTAAGTAGTAGAAGTTGCGTCCGCAGTCTGTTCTGGCTTGTTGTCTCCAGTTTTTGAGTGTTATCCCTTAGGTTTGTGTTGGAGCTAAGGGATGCCCATAAGTGTTAAGGATACTGTGAGTCATTAGAAGGTAACCCCTAAGACGCCTGTGCTCTAGTGGGTGGAGCTTTAGTAATTAGAAGTGCTTTTTGTAAGGCTTGAATTTGAGTCCCTAAACTGATCTTGTGGCTCGCCATTGGATACGTTCCAGCGTGTCCTTATCCTTTTGGAGTGAGGTAGGAAATACTATGTTTCCGTACTCTAAATGAGGACGAATGAAAATGTTGAAGACTATATGAAAAGCTCTTCCACCAAACTGGCCAACAATGTGCTTCAATGTTGCCAGTGCAAGGTTTGCTCGAAAGACATTTTTGTCACAGTTAGCGTAAGACTTTAAATAATAGGGTATCAGCACTCCTAAATCTTTTTCAACTTGGGTTACTTCTAGAGAGGAGTATCCCAAGTTGTAGCTGTAGTCTGCAACATGTCTCAGTTGGACTACTTTACACTTCGAAGTGTTAAAGTTAGGTCTGTTGTCATCTGACCAACTTTGGAGACAAGTCAGATAATTCTGAAGTGTCAGTATATCCCCTCAGTTGCGTATCTCTCTCAAAAGTTTCACATCATCAGCAAGAAGCAAGAAGCCAGACGATATCTGGTGTGAAAGATCGTTCCAATGGTTATGGACGGAATACTTCCAGGCAAGATCCTAGGTATATTAACGATAAAAAAGGAAAAAATGAATTGGTAAATCATAGCAAGATACTATCCTTAGTCCTTAAGAATAGATCAAGTCGCCTCTTAAAGGACTCCTGGGAAGTTGCTCGGACTAGCTCAGCTGGCAGCGAATTTCAGCATTTGACAACTCTTAAGGAGTAGAAGTTGTGTCTGCAGTCCGTTCTACTATGTTGTATCTCTAATTTCTGGGTGTTACCCCTTAGGTTAGTGTTGGGACTAAGCTTAAGTAGGTGTTTAAGAAAATGTCCAGGTGTGTTAAGGATACTGTAAGCCATTAGAAGGTCACCTCTGAGACGCCTATACTCTAATGGGTAAAGGTCGAGTGATTGGAGGCGCTCATCGTAAGGTTTAAATTTGAGTCCCCGAACTGATTTCGTGGCTCGCCGTTGGATACGCTCAAGTGTCCTTATCCTTTTGGAGTGTAGGAAGGAATACTATGTTTCCGTACTCTAAATGGGGACGAATGAAACTATTGAAGATTATGTGGAAAGTTCTCCCGTCAAACTGACCAAAAATGCGCTTCAATGTTACCAGTGCCAGGTTTGCTCGAGAGGCGTTTCTGTCACAGTTGGCGTAAGACTTTAAGTCGTAGGGCACCAGAACTCCTAAATATTTTTTCGACTAGGGATACTACTAGAGAGGAGTTTCCTAAGTTGTAACTGTAATCTGCGACGTGTCGCAGATGGACTACTTTACACTTTGAGGTGTTAAAGGTAAGTCCGTTATCGTCTGCCCAACTTTGAAGTCGAGTCAGATCCTCCTGAAGTGCCTGTATGTCCTCTTGGTTGCGTGTCTCTCTCCAAAGTTACACGTCATTGGCAAAGAGCAATATGTCTGACGTTACCTGTTGAGAAAGATCATTTATATGAATCAGGAAGAGGAGAGGTCCTAGTGTGGTGTGTGCTACTTATGTAGACATAAGTAGTATATGACTTGAGCAATGAACAGAATTTCTGTCGGTAGAGAGATAAGAAGATCGAACAACAAAGAATGAAGACAGAAGGCAAGTTTTATGAAAATGCATGAACAAAGGGATTCTGAGTGATTTGAGACAATTGATGAACAATTTGCAAATTACCGATTCAATATATGGTTTTTAAAAATGTAGTGAATAAAACACCAGTGGGGACAATCCAATGTATTTAACAACAATTTACAGAACTAGTTAGTAAAATCAAACAAACATATATTGAATCGGTAATTTGCAAATTGTTCATCAATTGTCTCAAATCACTCAGAATCCCTTTGTTCTTGCATTTTCATAAAACTTGCCTTCTGTCTTCATTCTTTGTTGTTCGATCTTCTTATCTCTCTACCGCCAGACATTCTGTTCAGTGCTCAAGTATTATGCTACTTATGTCAACATAAGTAGCGTACACCACACTAGTACTGAGCCCTGAGGGACCCCACTAGGACATTCCATAGCCTTTGAGAAATTAATGTTTACCCTGACCTTAAAATTTCGATTTGACAGATATGAACTGAGCGAGTCAACTAAAGGAGGTTTGATACCCAATTGTTTGAGCTTGTTAATAAGACAGATGTGGTTAACCCTATCAAAAGCTTTAGAGAAATCAAGGTAAATGATGTCCACCTTCCCCTTGCGATCAACGATGCTTGTCCATCTGTCCGCCGCGGTCAGCAGGTTCGTCATACAGGAGTAACCCTTCCTGAAACCATGCTGTTGGGGTGAGAAGAAATTTAAGGACA